AATTTCTAGGGTATTACAAGTACCCATGCTATTTTTGAATGCATCAAAGTTAAAGAATTAAGAGAGGAGATTGGGTGTATGAAGCTTTTGAAGAAGGGGGTTCAGGACCCTTGTAGCCTGTTAGCGTACTAGAAGGAAGGGGAGGCAAAGCTGTGTCAGCGAGCTTCCTATTTAGCTTGGTGTATTTGGGGAGACAGGAACTTGCAGGTCTTCGAAGGTAAGAGCACTCCGAACTCAGTGCTACTAGCTAGAGTTTTTAGGCTTGAAGAGGAGTACGGCAAATACAGTAGCATATTTACTCATTTCCAATAGCTACTCGTTGCAAACCTAGCAGTAAACGCTGGGTTGCTCCCCCTGAGGGCTTTATAAAGGTAAATTTTGAGGCTTCTTTGGCACAAGAAGGTTAGGTTGGTCTGGGTGTTGCAGCTCGTGACCATGAGGAAAAGGTGATCTTCTCTACAACTAGAAGAATTCGTGCGCGGTGGCCTCCTGAATTGAAATAGCTGAGGGAAAAGCAATTTGCATGGTTGTGCGTTTGGCAAAGAGGTTTGGGTGTAATAATGTCATCTTGGAGTCTGATAATCAAGTGCTCATCAACAGGTTATCAAAGGGTCTGGTTTACTATTCTAGTCTTGATGGTGTGCTTGGTGATATATTAGCTTTGAGTAATTTCTTTTCCTCTATTTGTTGGAACCATGTAAAAAAGAGATGGCAATAATGTTGCTCATCATCTTGCAAAGCTTCGTCCTTTTGGTGTAGAGCAAGTGTGGGTTAATCATTGCACGCCTGCTATTTCTCTGTATGTACTCTCGGACGCTATGTCCATCTCTTAATGACAAGCTTTCTTGTCCTAAAAAACGAATCCCTGCTATTTTTTTTTAGGAAAATTTAGAAATAATAATCCCAACTTTCATGAATTCTGCTAGAATAATCCCAACTTTGGGAATTCTTTTTTTTCTTCAATCCCAAATACCGGTTAGCGGTTGAATGGTTTTTTTTGGGTTAAAGTGACACGTGTCACAAATTAATTGGTTAAATAAATATAAAAAAAACCAAAATTTAAAAAAAAAAAAACCACCCAGCCAAAACCCTAACCACCTTAAAAGATCCGGCACCCCGCCAGCCAGCCAACTCCCTAGTCGGACTGCCAGCCCTCCCACTACTAGAGTTGCCGCTCCGAGCCAAACCACCATCCCCTCTCCCCGAAACTCCCACGCCACTAGCCAAACCCCAAAAACCACCAGCCCCACTCTCGAAAATCCCTCAAAGCCACCAGCCCCACTTGAAAATCCCCAAAAACCACCAGCCCCACTCGAAAATCCCTCAAAACCACCTTACCCACTCCCGAAAACCACCAAAAACCCCTCCCCCACCATCGAAAACCCTAGCTGCTAGGGTTTCGGGGTGGGGGAGGAGTGTTTGGTGATTTTCGGGAGTGGGACAGGGCTTTCTGCGGTGGTTGTGTGGGGGGATTGGAGGGGATTTCGGGGAAGGGGGAAAACGGCGAGGGAAGAGCGGCGGTCAACCGAGGGAAGAATGGAGGTCCAACGATGAAGAGGCGGCGAGCTTTCTGTGGTGGTGGAGGTTAGGGTGGGACGGTGGGGGAGGAGAGGCTGGCTGGATTTTGCTGATTTTTTTTATTTTTTATTTTTTAATATATGGACCAATCAGGTTTTGACACGTGTCATGTGACCTGATATAATAGGTCATTGACTTTTGTTGACCGTTAGGGATTGAAGAAAAAAAAAAGAACCCCCAAAGTTCGGATTATTTTAGAATAATCTAAAATTGGGATTATTCTAACAAAATTCATGAAAGTTGGGATTATTATTTCTAATTTTTCCTGGTTTTTTTTATTCACCTTTTAGCAAAATGCATAAGACTTATAAATTAGTGACAAAAGAAGTTATACGTAGTATTAATAATTAATCATGCAAATAACTCAACAAATATATACGTATTTTCTTCATCATTTTCATTTTAAAACTCTGCCACGCATGTCAGACTAGGATGCACGGACACTTCGTCCAACAGCCATGTCCGTGTCGGACACCGACACTCGTTCGACACACAACGGACACACATAAAAACTGCATCCGGTTTTTTAATATATTTAGACACTTTGAGACGAATCATATCTTACTATGATACGATCCGGTTTGCATTTTGATATGTCACCTCATTTTTTAACCTTTTTAATTAGAAAGTTAAGGTAAAGTATGAGAGAAAAAGGTAAGAGTTATAATACGAGCGCCTTCAAAACACATTTTATAGCACATTATTGTATGTGAATTAGGAGAATATTATTAGCTACGGTAAATGACTTGTTTTAAGGTTAATTATTTAGTGTTTTGTTGAATAGGTAGTCAAAATCTTGTTTTTTTGATATAATATTTGTCTTGTTATTTTCCGTACCCGTGTCCCCTATTTTAGGATTGCCGTTTTGCCGTGTCCGTATCGTACCTGTGTCCGTGCCCGTGTCGGTACAACCTAGATGTCAGACACACGGAATATTTACTGGCAAAAAAAAACTACTCCCTATGTATGGTAAAATAATCCTCTCATATGTATTTTGTCCAATTTTTAATGTAGACCTTTTAGAACTACGTATATTATTAATATTTGTAATTTAGTTTCATTTTAGACTATTAAAATTTATAAACATCATATATTTTTAAATTACACGTTAAAGAGAACGTAATAACATTTTAGTCCATAACTTTTTTATGTTTATAGATATATACTATATTATAAAGTAAGATACATGTTTATACATACTATATTCCTTAATTATTACGATAGTAGTATTAACTAGAGGGCTTTATATATTTTATTTTAATGTAAAGGATGATTGTAAAAGAAATTATTGTGTACCTAGAACCTAATATTATAAAAAGAAGCAATATCTTATGGAACAATTATTTCTACAATAAAAAAAAAAAAAAAAAAATTAGATCTTTTTTATAAGGAATGTAATTTCCTTAAGAGGAATGTAAATTAATTCGAGTTACTATAGTAAAATTAATTACCTGCCAGAAAGACTAGAAAATAAAAGACCTTCCTTGAAAACATTTGACCTAGTCTTCGGTTAAATTAAGGAAACTTAATTATCCATCAAATGAAAGGAAATATTTTAACAATAAAAAGGGTGATTAATAGTAATTAAGCAATTTACACCAATAAATTAAAAAGCTGTTTTTCTACCCTTAATCTCTCTATTTAAGCTATGAAAACATGGTAATTCTTAATTCACATGAACAAAATTTTTTTAGAGAAGTCGTCTCTACCAATTTGATACATTGAGATTTCAGGTAAGATCATTTATCCTTTTTTTTTATAATGTTTTTATGTATATAAAAAAATACATATACTATTTGATGCTTTGATTTGTATGCATACATATATGTGATTCTCATTTTAAGATTAATACCAATTTTACTTGGAAGTTAGTATATGTTTGAGCTTAAACATGAAGATTTAGAATGCCTGCCTCATTCTGAATTATTCATGTGAAAAGATTGAAACAATATATTTCTTATGTTAAATTTATACTGTATATTATGGTCCTAAAGCAAATAAGCAAAATACTTTAGTTCGAAAACATAATTATGGATGTATGTACTTCCATGACAGTATTTCATCTTGTATAAACAGAATTACAGAATTGCTCCATCTGTCCATCATCCTTGTTGATAATTCCATGTAATTGTATGACTGGTAGAAATTACAATTCGTGATATGTGAAGTCAATTGACATTTCTTCTACATACATATGTCACATATAGTGAAATGATTAACGTTCGAGATTTTGACAATAAAATATGTCTGAGTTAATTATAATAGATCATATCAAAAAGGTTATTTTAATATTTTAAAATCTTTGTTGACAGGGTTGATTATTATAGATTTATAGCCCCTAGTTACACACTTACACTGGTGTATATTTTTTTTGCTTTGGGTTCTCTTTTGATGTGGTAGCAAAATGGATTGAATGTAATAACAGATTCAATATAAGTAAGACTATTTTTTATATATATATTTTTTATGCACTAAGTATTATTCTATGACGTTAATATTTAATTTATATTTTATTACAGTATTGTAACCCAAAAATGAGGGCTAGTTTTCCTTGCATTAACAACCTAACCTAAACTAGCTTGAAATGATGCCCTTGGGTTGGGGATTTCAATACGATACATTAATTTTAAATGATTGTGCAAATAACCAATAAAAAAATTATAGACAAAAGTTATAGAGAGAAAGTAAAAAAAAGTACAAGGCGAGTGGAAACTTCAAGGGTAATTTAGGAAGTTCAATAAACGAGAATATAATGGTCTTTACATACTATCTAAAAATAAAAATAGAAACAACATTTTGAGTCTCCAAAATAGGAAAACATGAACTATAATGTGGGATGAAGGAAGTACATGAGCATATGTGTTTGATACTTATTTAACAAAAGAATACAAGTGCATATGTTAAAAATCACACGACAGTAGATAAAAGAACTTGTGTTGCTTCTGTTGGAAGTATGAATGCATACATCAAAGTCATGTAGGAAATTTATTACTTCCTCTGTTTCAAATTATTTGCAACGATTAAACATTTTGTACTCACACTTTATGTTAAATCGTTGCAAATAATATGAAACGGAGGTAATACTTGGTATTACATTTATTGGTATGACACTTTATAGAGGTTATTTCTGTTTAAGGAAAATGTATGCATATTTTGCATGGTATCTTTTTCAGAGAAATCCTATGTTTGTAGGGTAGATTTGGACGTGAATTTGGAGAATAAAACATTTCTTTTTCAGCAAAGATTTGATTATCTACCTGATTTAAATCCAGTTTATGATCACATAAATATGAATGAAATCGAATATAATTCGGACTTTATTTCCATCTTGGGCTAATTAAAACAAATAATCAAATGTGATTGCATTAGTGTTGTTCTTGGCTTCTTAATATATAATTCAACATTAAATTTTATTGAAAAAATCCAGGCTCAAAAATACAAAAATGAAGATTGACAAGGTCACGAAATGGAAGACTCTACTTTGGTCAACAATTTTTGTTCAATCATTATTTGCAGGAGATTGTAGGGGGAGAATGCAGTAAGTTCTTCAATTTTGTGCTTTACTAATTATGTTTATTCTTCATGCGTCCAAATAATTTGAGAATGCTTATAATATTAATTTGTGTATAGGTTATATTTTTCAAATAGAGAGTTAGACGAGTTGTTAAGTTTGCTAGATTTTTTTTTTTTTTTTTTTCTTTTGAGAAAGTAAGTTTGCAAGATTTTATGTGTGTAGTTACGGAACACTTTGAGGAAAGATTTCCTTAATTACCCTTACTCTCTTCTCATCTTCAAGTTATTGAGATTGACCGAAAACACCCAGCCTTTATAGTAAGGCCGGACTTAGGAAGAGTTTAGTCACCTAGCTAGCTAAATAAGAAGATTTTGATCAATGATCAACTTCTAATGATGCATAAATGTAATTGAATGAAGAGAAATCAATGAGGCAATAAAAAACATGTATACATGCAATTTTATAGCCTAAAAATTCAATTATTCTCAACCCATGCAACATCATAACATAACCGTTATTTTATTCGTACATGTTACTCTGTATTTATAAATTATTTAATAAAAATAAACTAAATTGCAGTGGAGAAGGAAAATCGAAAGTAGAGGCACCCAGCCCAAATCCGGGGCTAGCCACTGGTGTACGGGTCAATGCAACAGGCAATCAGGTAAGACTATTGATGTAGAAAAGTGATGCACTTCAAAAATAGAATAAAATAAAAAAATAAAATTGAAAGAGTATTAAGTGTTCGATGTTAATACAATAAGTAGGTAATGTATATAATAGACCCACAAGCCAAACAGCATTTAAGATGGACTAGACCAAGATTTGAGGCCTTGAATCCAATGGGCTTGGCCTAAGTAATGAACTTGATAAACTCAAGAATTTTGAACATACAAAATATTACTTGTATTTTTGTAAGGTATTTTGAGTAAAATTGTATTGTAAGGTATGCATATCAATAGATTCAAAATAAGCTCAACAAACAGATTTTTTATTTTTATTTAATTTTTTTTTTTTTTTAAAAAAAACACAAAACAAATTAGCTTATACAAATCCACTGCAATTCTTGCTTAAATATTTTCTCGTTTGTCCAAGAAATTATTATTGGACTATACGTCAATGATATTAATTACATGTGAACTGAGATTATGATTAACTGCAACATTTTATTGTAGGTTGTGTTGGACAATGGCATGATTCAAGTCACCTTTGCTGTTCCGGAGGGATACGTTACTGGGATCCGATTTGGTGGCCTAGACAATATACTTGATGTCACTAATAGGATATCTGATAGAGGGTACATACTACTTCGTTTAACATGATTAATTCAGCTTTAAGTTGTGTAGATATCCTAATATGGAATATAATGTTGCATAATATTTTACAACTGCTTATATTTCGATGCAACTATTTCGTAGAAATTAGCTGACATAACTAGTATTTTGGATTGCGCGTGACATGTAATATTTTTCTAATTCATATATGGTTAATCTATACAGGTACTGGGATATAGCATCAGCCAGTAACCCAGACAATGATGACTCGGATGAAATAAGGTAATTTCGACTACTATTCAAGCATGAGTAGAGAAATGTTCAAATCAGTTAAATTTATGTTTGTTCAATCTAAAAATTTAACATACACAAACTTATATGGATCAATTGATGTATAAGTGCAACATATGTACAATAAATTATGAGCTATGAGATAAATTTGTACTGTTATATTTCAAATATAATTTATTAAATATTTGACAAATATATTTTTAATTATATTCTTCAATTATTTTTACAAGTAAACATATTTAGCTTGTTCAAAATTAGTTAAAATTGATTTGAAAAGATTGCTAGCTGTGCTACTGATTGAGTGTGTTATTAAATTTATACTTCGTATATATCAAATTAATGCACTTATGCAATAATCTAACAAGTTACTTTGATTTACAGTGTCGTAGGAGCCAGTTTCAAAATCATAAGCCAAACTCCGGATAAGGCAGAAATTTCATTTGTATGTCCGCAGACTAAATCACTTCCACTACAAGCAGATATTAGGTATTGTATGTGAACAAATTTACGATGTATGAACAAGATTAAGATGCAATTTAATGATAGTTGAGGCTTAAAAATTATTTGATTGTTGATTATGTAGGTATGTGATGCTTCAAGGTAGCTCAGGGTTCTATGCTTATGCTATTTTTGAGCGTCAAAAGGGATCACCGCCTTTGAACGTGGATCAGATCAGGACTGTTTACAAGCTTCAACCTGACAAGTATTATAATCTTCTGTACCTTGTATACAATAGTTTTTATGTAACTGTTATGTCTTATTGAGGTGACATCAACTTTTTTGTTAGGTTCCGTTACATGGCAGTTTCAGATAAGCTACAAAGGTTAATGCCAATGCTACAAGACCGTGAGACCGGACAACCTTTAGCCTACAAAGAAGCTGTTCTCTTGACAAGACCAACCAATCCTAAGATCAAAGGACAAGTTGACGATAAGTACCAATATGCTTGTGATGACAAAGATAACAAGGTACATGGGTGGATTAGCACTGATCATGGAATTGGAGTGTGGATGATAACACCAACTGATGAATTCCGAATGGGAGGTCCTCTTAAACAAGACCTTACATCTCATGTTGGTCCGACCATGCTTGCTGTACGTATTCAAGCCAGAACTTTCAACAATTTCCTATATTTTTTTACTGCTAATTGTGCAAGCAAGATATGATCCGTTATTATCATGTTTGACAGATGTTTCATAGTACTCATTATGCTGGTCCCGATCTGATAATGAAGTTCAAGGACGGAGAGCCATGGAAAAAGGTATTTGGACCGTACTATGTGCACTTAAATTCCCTACCTGGCAAAGGAGATCCTAATATGCTATGGCAACATGCAAAAGATCAGGTATATATACAAAAAATTACCATATGGTTTTTATTTATATTCTTATGCAAGCGAACTTTATTAGTTAATCAGTTTCATGTCATATGCCCTGCAACTTTTGGTTGTTTCAGATGCTCAGAGAAACTGAGAGTTGGCCTTATGAATTCCCAATGTCATTAGATTTTCCTAAGGCTAATCAACGTGGATCTGTCGCAGGAAGATTGCTCGTCAATGATGGGTATTTCAATTCCCTAAATCTTTTCTTGTAACCCCTAAACTTGAAATCCAGCAGAGTATATACATGTTCTTAAGGTGATAATTTTTCGTTTTATGTATCATAGAGCAAAAGCTATACCAGCAAATATTGGGTGGGTTGGTTTGGCTCTACCTGGTGACGCAGGCTCGTGGCAATATGAAATGAAAGTAAGAAAGAAATAACAATTGTGTATGACTGCTGTAAGGTAAACCACACAATGTGAAACAGAGAACTAATTATTTGTTACTGCTGCAGGGTTATCAGTTCTGGACTCAGACTGATCGCGATGGAAAGTTCGTGATAAAAAATGTTCATCCTGGCACTTATAATTTATATGCATGGGTTCCAGGATTCATAGGGGACTATAAATCTACATCAACTGTCACTGTTGCACCAGGTATTGACCCTGATGTCCTGAAATGCTCACTCTAATTGACAAATCAAAAGGTTGATTTCTCATGTTATGCTACTCTATGGCTGCTTATTTTGCAGGGAAACAAGTTAGTTTGGCTGATCAAGTTTTTACACCTCCACGAAGCGGACAGACAATGTGGGAAATCGGAATCCCTGACCGTACTGCAGCAGAATTCTTTGTCCCTGACCCTAGACCAGACCTCACCAACCCATTGTTTTTACACGATAATGAGAACAAGTTAGTTTTTCCACTCATTTTTCCATTTCTTTGTATAACTATGGATTGTTATACTGACAGTCAGTTCTGTTATATTAACAGGTACAGACAATATGGTCTGTGGGATCGATACACCGATCTTTACCCGAAACAAGATCTTGTTTACACTGTTGGTGTCAGTGACTATAAAAAGCACTGGTTTTTTGCTCATGTACTCAGGTATTTCATGATTCAGCTTGCTATAACCTCTGAACTTCATAGTTGTGTATTCTTTTCTATTTGTCGGCTTTACTGAGGTGAAAGTTCGTGTTGTAGGAGGGTAGGACAAATGTATGAACCAGCTACATGGCAGATTGTATTCCCCTTAAAGGAAGTTGTGCCTAGCGGTAACTATACATTACATATCGCGCTAGCAGGTGCAACTCAATCTGAATTACAGGTGAGAAACATAGTTCATATAATATAATCAACAAAATTTTGATATGTACATTGTTTTGCTACAAATAGTGTAAATATTGTTTTGTGCTTTTCAGGTTAGAGTCAACAACCCAGACGTGAAGTCCCGTCCTGTTTTTACAACACTGCTTATAGGCAGGGATAACGCGATTGCAAGGCATGGGATACACGGAATCTATCGGTTATATAGCATAGGCATAAAGAGTGACTCTCTTAAGACTGGAGACAATACAATTTTTCTGACTCAGTCCAGGAACAAGGAAATGTTCCGCGGAGTTATGTATGACTACATACGATTAGAAGGACCCTCGGCGTCTCCTAGGAAATTGTTGCAAGAACTTTAAGTGGTTCTTCATAGTTAGATGTAGGACATTGTAATTTCTAAACACAGCTTCATTTCCTAAAAAGTGCCCAAATTTGTCGTGGCACTTTTAATAGGAAGATGTAATATAATAACATTGGCGAGCTAAACTTATCACCAAATATAAATACATCCCTTAGCCCTAAATTGATAGTTTTAATAATATCAATTCATAGTGGCTTTTATCACTATTTCTGGCTTTCAAGTTTACAGGTTTTTGGTTTTTTTTTTTTTTGTGTCCAAATTTCTGAAAAATCGTGTATGTTTCCTAGAAATAGTTTACTAGATTCCGTACATGACAATGGTAGAAATTCATATTGCTCTGTGAAAAATGATATTAATTAGTTGTGTATAATAATTATAATTATCATTATACAAAAGAGTTCAAAAAATGATGGTTCTGTGAAAACAAATCAATGTTATTTACAAATTAAACCTCGTACTTAGACTAAGAACTAGGACCCTCTAAACGTAAGTAATCATACATAACACCACAGAAAGGACTACTAGCAATCGATTGGGTGAGGTACAGAGTGTTCATTCCATTCTGAAGCAATGTGCCTGAAACATCAAAGCTGAACTGCCAATACAAGCCGTGAATTCCATGCCTTGCAATCGCGTTATCAAGTCCTATCTTGCTTGTTGTAAAGTGTGGTCTAGATGTAGGATTAACATTGAATCGAACCTTCAAAATCATATGATCACTACATCAAACGAAATTCCATAGAAAATATAATTTATTTAATTTGTTTTACTTGTATAAGTCTGAGGACTGTCAAACTGACAGCATACTTACTCGAAGTTGAGCAGCACTTGCTGATGCTAATGATATTCTTAATGTATAACTTCCATAAGGGTTTACATTGTTAAGTGGGAATTGAATCTGCCATGTTGCTGGCTGTAAATTCTTATTCTCTGTTCGCCTGCATTATAATATATGATTTTAGATTGTTACACCCGTAAAATTGTTAAACATCAACATACAGAAGTGGAAGATTATTACCTTGGTACATGAGCAAAGAACCAGTCTTTTGTAGAATTGCTAACACCAACCGTGTAAACCAGATCATTATCAGGATATAGATCGGTGTATCTGTCCCATAAACCATATTGTCTGTACCTGTTATTGTATAAAATTCAGACTTTAAAATTAGTACAACTATTTTAAAAGTATCTAGCATGATAGTATAAGTAATATTAGTAGAAGATGTTATATATACTTATTCTTCTCATTGCTGAGGAGAGCAGGATTTATGTATTCAGGACTTGGATCAGGCACAAAAAACTCTGCTGCTGTACGATCAGGTATCCCTATTTCCCAAAGCGTAGGTCCATTTCGTGGTGGCTCATACACAATCTCGTTCATATTGATTTGGTCGCCTATACATTAACATAACAAATCAATCATAAACATTCTGTAGTAGTTTTCTTATGAACTTACTATACTCGAGCTTAATTTTGATCATACAAATACAGACTTAGTGTAGGAAGAAATCAAACCTGGATGAACAAAAATGTTTGAATTATGTTTATGTTCTCCTAAGAAACCAGGAACCCATGCAAAGAGACTATATTCCCCTTCATGAACTCCTTTAATAATAAAATTTCCATCATTATCTGCCTTAGTCCAAAACTGATAGCCCTGTTATATCATCATTCAAAAGATGTTCATCAAAGGTAAAAAGAGTACTATACACATTACACAGTAAAGAACTATGTTGTTTCAATTTTTCTCACTTTTGTTTCCGTTTGCCATGAACCCTGTTCACCAGGCGCGGTTAACCCCACCCAAGCAGAACTTGCAGGTATCAATTCGTTACTCAAATATCTACAACCACAAATTATGATAAGTTAGCCTATACGAAGTATGATTCTAAGAGAAAGTGACAACAAAATCATTAAATACCTATCACGAATGAGCAATTGACCTCCAACAGATCCTCGTTGATGAACTTTTGCATAAATCTCGGATGATGGAAAGTCATAGGGCCATTTCTCAATTTCTTTTTGCAACTGATGCGTAAAATTTGTTAGGATATTTTTCCATAAATAACACATAAACGTGAATTATAAAGTTTTAGGAACTTTTTATACTACCTGTTGTTTTGCATCGCTCCAAAGTTGTGCATAAGGATCATTCGAAGTAGAAGCTTTGTTCAAGTAAACAAAATAAGGACCGATAACCTTTTGCCAACGTTCTCTATCCTGAACTGATAGTAGGAAATTTTGGCCAGCATAATGTCCACTGAAAAAGTCCTGAAAATTATCAACAATATAGTTAATAACCCAACAAGTTAATGATATCATAAACTTTGTATTTTTCGGTATAATTTACAAAAGGTTTGTGTACATACAATAAGGCTAACTGGACCCATATGAGAAGTGAGCTCTTGCTTGAAAGGACCAGCTGAATAAAACTCAGTACTCGCTTTGATGAGCCAAAATCCAACCGGAAATTCTCCAGAGGATATCCATCCATGTACTTGTTGATCTTTCATGTCTTGTGAGTACTGATATTTGTCCTCGACCTGATTAATTAGATAAGATATTAATTAACCATAATTCTCGAAACCATATTAGAATTTGTATATGTACCAACAACAAATATACATATGTACCGCGGTTTTCATTGTTGGATCAGAACTATTTGTCCATATAATGGCTTCTCTGTAAGCAAGAGGTTGACCATTCTTGTAATCTTGTTCCATTGGCATGAATTTTTGTATGTCGTCCGAAATAGCCATGTAATTGAACCTAAGATCAAACGTGTATAATTATGATTAGGAAGAATGCAACAAAATACTTGTTCAAATTAGTGATAGAAAAAAATTAAATTAAATCTTCTTACTTGTTTGGAAGTTTGTAGGCTACTCTTATTTGAGAAAGTGTTGTAGCGGGAAAACTTTGATCATGATCTAAGACGACATAATTGTATAAGCCGGAGGAACCTCGAAGCATTACAAATCTACAACATCCGAGCATTACACAGAATTAGTATAGCTAATCCTTTGTCGATTTTTAATTATCAGTTGGTACATTTGATAAGTTTATAGTACATTAGTCAATAAAATTAATGACTGCTTCAAAATTATGAACCAAAACAAACCAATTTTTTTTATTAAAAGCATTACTCCGTATACCTCTTGTCTATATTGATTGGAATCGAATTTTGATCTCCACTCCATTGTGTTGAAAACGAAAGTTCTACTTTATCGTCATCTTCTGTTATCACTTTGAAATTTTCCATATGTAACCTGCATCATCAAATAATTATGAGAATTTGATTTGTAATTCTTTTGTTATAGCAAAGCACATCATATACACTACTCCTACTTCGTTGCATAATATATGCATTATTTTGACTTTTTACACTATTTAATTATCAACTTTTCGTTTTAATTACATTTTTCACTCATATATGAATGAAATTTGAATAATATGTATAATATGTTGGGTTGGTTACTCCAAATATTTTTTCTATAATTGTTTATTAATGATGAATATATAGAAATTAATATTCAAAGTTGTGTTTTAACAAGTGAAAAATTTACCATAAGTGCCGAATGGCTAATAAAAATAAAAAAGCGAAAAAGTACAAAATGTTAGAAAAAAAATCATGGAATGGAGGGAATAACATATCAATGCTTGTATGAAAGAGCTCCTACGTAAATTTTTTTTTTTTTTTTTTTTTTTTTTTTTGCCTATGCTCCTAAATTCTCAAAAACCACCTCTAAATACGAGTATATGAAATTTTGTGTCCTATAAATTATTTGCTGGAGTATTTGTATATATTCTAAAAGTTTCCAAAAAATCAAACAAGGTTAGTACTAGCTCATTTTTTCTCTAAAATTATCTACTTAAAGTATCTAAAGAATTCTTGACATTGAAAGCAACTAGAAATATGGCTTGTGAGCATTCTAGAATATTATGACTACATGTATGATGAAGAAAGCTTCCGGCCATTTCTTCCAAGCTCCATCTTCAAGTATAAATATAGGTCATGGGCATTCAACCGAGGCATACACGCAAGAAGTCATACCTATACACAAAACTTCCTCCCTATCTACCATCCTTGTAAATTCCACAATTCTTATTTTGTAATACTCCTTTACGAGTTATAGTGAAAGTTTGCTTGTATCAATCGAGTGTTCTTGTATTCTCTTTATATTCTCTTATATTTATATAATGGATTATTTTTCAAGTGCTTGTTCTTATATTCTCTTTATATTCTCTTATATTTATATAATGGATTATTTTTCGAGTGCTCGTCGATATCTTGTGTTCATTTCCTTTCTACTATTTATCTTGACTTTATTTCTCTTTATTGTTACTACTCAATCTCTTACATCATTAATTTAATTCCGCTGCATGCGTTCTCAATTCAATAATCCTAAAATTTCACTTCAAAAATATATTATTTCAAATTGTGATATTTACATAAATGAAAAAAAAATTATTATTGTGAAAATAATAAAACATCAATTATTAGCATAATTAAGCATACCAATCCTCTCCTTTGGTATCTTCTGTTGTCCAAAAAATATTCCAGTACCTGAATAGTATATCAAATTCCAATATAATTAAAAATAATTAAAATGATGAAATTTCTATATTATTGAAAATTATTTGCGAAAAACTCACCCTCTACTGTTTACTTTGCGACTGGAATCCAGCACATTTTTCATTCCACCATACTGAATTTCAGCCACGTGGCCTCCCGGAATTGCTATAGTTACTTGGACAATTCCGTTATCCATAACAACCTAAATCAATAATAATATTAAATTAGGCTTCAAATTAATGTAATAAATTATTTAATATTTATTTTTTAATAACAGATACATTATATTTTTATGACATGTAAAAATCATCAAAAGTCAAAATATGAATTTAACTCATCAAACATTAATTACATGATGGACGCAAAATTTATATTTGAAATTAAGTATTACAACAGTTCTTTGTCTTGTTTTTATCTTTATTTTTACTTTTTTTTGGAGTGAAAAATATTTAAAGTCTAATGATTTGGATATATAACGTACATATGGTTGATTAGTTGATTAAAGACCAAAAAAAAAGAAGATATAGATATTATGACGTACATATTGTTGATTAACGCTTAAGGTAACGGGTTGGGCAATGTCTTTTGTTCCTTCATTGTCATTGATTTTCTTCGGCATATCACTGCATTCAATAATAAAAAAAGAAGGATAACATAGGTAAAGTTAATTAATTGCTAATTAAAGAGGTAGAATAATATAAGTAAAATTATGTGAAGAATTTTTTTTCATTATAGATATTCAGGTTTGCCACGAGGTCCAAATACAACTAGATGCACTAAAGAGATGAGTATAAAGGACAAAATCACTCTTTTAATAGATAAAAAAAAAAAAAAAATATTGATTGTTTTCATAAAATGTTTAACATTGATTTTTTTTTTTTCTTTAATGAATGAAAAAAGAAACAGATTTTTAGACAAATTTATTATATATATATAAACAATTTTGCAGTGACAATTAAGAAACTGATTTTTTTTTTTTTTTTGAAACATTAAGAAACAGATATTTAGACAAATTGATTATATTAAAAACAATTTTGCAGTGACAATTAAGCTTAACAATTATTATTATTATCATGAAAATAAACAAAGTAACGTACCGAAGTTTTCTTGCATTGGTATTTCCAAGCACCATTAAAAGAAATATGAAAAAGATGGTCGTATTCTTTGGAAGCTCCATTACAAAATATTAAGAACATGCAAATTCTGATACACACAAAAAAAAAAAAAAAAAAAAAAAAAAAAAAAAAAAGTTACTGCCAAATAAACACCAGTAATAACTTTTTTTTTAATATGTTGTTTAAAGCTTAAATTTTGTACATAATTTATCAACCCTCACCAAATACGTATAAATAGTAGTAAAGAACAAAAAAATGAATAAAAAAGATTTAAATTTATTTACCAAAGAAGAGTAAATCAAAATTGTGAGATTTTGCTTTTAAAATCTAAGCCTCTAGGGATAAATTTCGTAATTTAAAAATAAAAAAAATAAAAAAAATCTTTTTGACAAAAGACTAAAAATTTTAGTCTAATTGTAAAAAAAAAAAAAAATTCTCTCTTTGAAGAGCTTCTATTCAAGCATGAAATATAAACATGTAAGAGCTTTACCTTACAAATTTTGCTATAATATGATTTTAGTTATCTTACAATTGTTCAACTACAGAGAAAAAAAAAAGAAAAAATTAAAAAATGCACAAAGTATGCAGCCAAATAATCATATACTTCCTCCGTTCTTTTTTACTTGACCCGCTTTGACTTTTACACTATTCATCACCCCTCATTTGACTGTCTTTTGTGAATAATATGTAAGGAAAAACATGTTCATATGAAATCTTTTTGAATTCGTCTTAATAATTTTAAAGTTTTACATTGGTAAGTGTGATAAAAGAAACCGATCAAGTAAAAAAAAAAACAGAAGTAGCTACACAACTTAGGACGCTTGAAATTTTATCTTAAGATTTTAGAGCATTTTTAATTTAATTGCTAAAGATATTAAGCTACTATTTCACCTGGATTTAGTTATGGTGTGATTTTTTTAGTTAGATTTAACTGTGCAAATTTTTAGGTATTGCTAATTCAACTGAAATTATCTTTTTTCTTTTCTCCCATAAGAGGTTGCGTTATTTATATATATATTGAAATAGGGTTGCTAATAACTTAATAATCCATACGTTGATAAGGTTTTATAGAGATGGGTTCATACACTTGTCCAACTTGACAATGCTAATCAAGACATTCACCACAAATTTACAATGTCTTTTTGGTGATTATAATTTATTTTTAGTACAAAACAAAATTTGTCCGTCTTATTTTATACTCAAAAAAAAAAAAAAAAAAAAAAAAAAAAAAAAAAAAAAAAACCTCTTATTTATTGGTCGATGGTGATCAAAAACTTTCGTCTTAGTATTATACAAAGTATATGATTGAGAATGTTCTTAACTATTTTCACAAAAATTATGATCTTCATATTTTACGTAAAAAAGATATGGACAATGTCAAGGGAAAAAAAAAAAATCAACAATAGAGGGGACATACACGTACGTACCTCAAAGGTGTTTACGTTGAAGAAAAGGCTAGTGATGACTAAAGTATACAAGGCTAGATTGATAAATACTTGTGTAAATTGTGTTTCTTGAATTGTTATGTCTGTTAAGTAATAACGCCTACTTCGTATTAGATAATTTACAGTATAACATAAATCATATTAGGGTGTTTCCCAATCCTAACAGAAAACCACTTTAGTTTATGAGATTTATAATAATTTTATCTTATTAGTTTGTGTTAATGATTAAGTAGAAGTTAATTAGGATATCTTTATATTTTTACTCGTGTAAAATATTGAGGCAAGAAATCTATCTAATTGGTATTGTGGAGCTAAATAAGACGAAAGAGGAAATAATGTGTAATTTTGGAAAGTCCAAACCATTATTGACTTCAAAAGTTTTATCTTAGACTAATCGGTCAAACATTGTTTTATCTTTTTTTTTTTTTTTTTTTTTTTTGTGCTCATGATTTCTTTATTTTCCTCCATTAATTATTCTAAGCCAAAATAATTGATTATGCTTATGTTTGTGCTCGTCAAAATCCGCCCTATTCTCAGCTGACATTTCTATTTCATTGCCAAAATTACTGTAAGACCATGTTTGGTAAGGGTATGTTTAGAACGGATTCAATTAAACCATTACCGTTATCAAGTGTTTAGTTAGAATGCTTATGTAACAATTATCATTACCTAAGGGTAATGATTTCCACCCATTAGTTAACTCTCTAAAAGCTAAGGTAACAAATATCTTTACCCTCCTCAAACAAAAATAAAGAGAGTTAGGTTTAAGTGATTCCTTTCCATGTTTAAACCAAACAAATGAAAAGGTAACTGTTAAATGATTCATTTCCTTCTCCTTATTTAATTCTTTTCCACTCCATTTCCAATTTTCATACCAAAAGCCCCCTAAATATTCTACTCACAACTTTGATACTTGTGAATTGTATAAATTTGATTTAATAATGGTCTAAATTGATAGATGAGAGAACAATGTCTACTACAAGAGGGGGGGTGAATTGTAGACTATAGAAAATTTTGGGGAATTAAACTATCTACTAAGAGAGAAGACACTCGAGATAGGCAATGAATAATTTCACTATGTAAAGATGAATTACAATCGCTAATATTCTGCCTAGACTCAAGTTCCGTGAGGAACTCAAGTTTCCCAACTACGATCCCTCAATCGCAGTTTCTCACTCTTTGTGATTCTGCTCCGAATCACTTGTACAATGTGAAGAACTCTCTCAAGCCTCACACTTACAACTCTCACAAACCCCAATCCCAATCACAAAGTAATTACAGGATTTTTCTAATGCACTCAAAGAACTCAATGATGGAAGGAACTCAGCTTTAAAACACTTAGAAACTTTTTACGCTCAGAAAACTGAAGTTGTTTTTCCACACTTTAAAACAGCAACGTTGAATGCTTTTATAGGGAGATTAGTTAAGCCTCAACCATGTTCCCCCTTCCCCCTCAATCCCACGTTCACCTTAACTGGAGAGTTAGGATGTACGTTGAGGGAGTGGAGAAACATGCTTCACTGACTTGTCTCCCAAGTTCAACGTGAATCCACAATTTTAGGCAACCGATAAACTTATTTATTAAAAGAATATTTATTAAAAGATAATTATTTAAAAAAGAATAATAACAAAAAGATAATTCAAATAATTATTTAATTTAAAATAAACTTATCTTTAAATTAAAGAATTATTTAACTTTAATTTATTTCTAAAACAAAATCTTTTCACACTGATTTTTATCGTTTCCTTAAATTAAGGATTTCAAAAATTATTTTAAAATCTTTCGTAAAAATCTTTTCTGAGTCATACGTTAAGTTCCTTTAGGAACTCCAGGTTCCTTCAGGAACTTCAAGTTTCTTATTAGTTCCTTCCAACACTTTGCTTCTCAAGTACGTACAAGAATATTCTGAGTATTGGAGCTTGTGAGGATATCTTAAAAGCTTGCTTGTTACGTCAAGACTTCCAAACTCTTTTGTTCCTACTCCGGAACATTTAGCTTTGTACCTGAATCTTCTGTTCAACTAACACTTACACACATCATTAGTCAGAGTTTGTTATATGTATGTCAATCATCAAAATATTAAGGTAGTCAATTCAACAATATTCCCCCTTTTTGATGATGACAAACAAAAACAAACTCGGTTAAACTAAAAAAAAACATCCAGGCAATCAGAGTAACCAATAACTAAGTAAAACAGTTAAATTATTAAAGAAATAAAACAAACTAAGTTTAAAGAAGTCTGCATCATTCATGAAAATAATAAATTGTGAAATTTATACCTTTTCTTAAACGATGAAGACTTGAATGGAATCGATTTGAGTCTGGCTTTCTGAGTTTGCTCTCCGTTTTCCCCCTTTTGGCATTATCAAAATAAAAGAAAAAGCATGCTATATATAGTACTAAATTACGGAGGGAGTAGTAAATCCGAATTCATGAACAATCAAGCATGCGCACACAGATCATATGCAACCAAAATGAAGACATCTAATTCATAGAAAAACAGAGCCAGTTCCATTAAGTACAAACCGAAAGAAAAAAAAATTGTGCAAGATAAAATAGAAAATAAAAACTAAAACAAAACATCACTGTTCAATATAAATTGCAAAAGAGGCTAAGTGATGTAGGGTTAGACTGAGGGTGTTGTGGAGGTTGTTCAGGTTTAGGCAAGGGTAGATTTTCACGAAATGCAGTAAGGTAGGTCAGGATAAGGAACTTGGGGATGTTTCTTTCGAAAAAGGAACATGGTGGTTAGAATTTCATTGGGATTTTTGTCCTCTGAGTCAGATTGATGAATTTAGTTTATATGAAATTCACCCCTTCGTCTCCATCATATTCTTTGTCTCCTTGTGTTCCTCAGTCTCCCTTAAACTTTTTCTCTCAATTCCTCCTCTGTATTTCGTTTTATATATATATATATACATATATATATACACATATATATATATACATATATATATATATACCATCAACTTCCTCTTCTAACTCATCTTCTCCCTCAAAAAGATCAGCCACACTTTTGGCCTCATCTTCTTCAACAATATTTGATTCCCCCTCAGTTTGTTCCCTCGGTTTTCCAACAAAAATAGTTACACCATTTTCTACTTTAAGATTCAATTCAAACAGTGCCCTTTCACTTAAAGTATTTTCAGTTTCAGAGATATATGGTGGGATGTTGCAAGATTAATTCCAAAACACTGAAATACGAAATAAAGTAAGGGGCCATATGGTATGGTGTATTTGAAACAAAGGTAGGTTCCTGTTCAAAAGAAACATGAGCAGTAGGAAAGTTTGCAGGCACATCAGGGACAATGTAGGTGGAGTGGTGGTATGGTGGGAGTTTTTATGGTGGTTTGGGTGGTAATTGAAAAGGTGAAGATGGATCGATGGTGAAGTGACGGTTTTTAGGTGGAATGAATTTGGGTAAGTGTGTGAGTGGGGTGAAAGGATATGACGGTTGAGGGTTGAGTGGAGGGGTTTTAGGTTTTTAATTTGTAATTTTATTGAACAATGATAAAATTAAAAATTAAAAAGAAAATAAAAAAATTCTAATGGAGGAAGAAAAAAAATCTTTTTGTATTTTTGAGTATAGGATTAATGATAATAAAAAGAATAAGAAAATTACGGAAATAAAAAGAAAATTAATGATGATAAAAAAATAAGAAAAAGATAAAGAATAATAGGATAAAAAAAATTAAATAGTTTGCCAGGAAATTACGTGAGGTAATTTACTGGTTAACATGTACAGAGGTTTGTTACTTTAGAAAAAGGAACTTGGAAACAACATGGCTCAATTTGTCTTCTTCATCGACATAATCATATGATCACACACAAAATAGAATTGCACACTCTTTCATTGCAAGATTCAAGATTATGATTTTCACACCAAGGTTATATATAGAAATGCTCAGTCGTTTTACTAAGACATACCTTGGGGTTCCATGAAGAACTGCTCAGTTTAGCTTTATCATTCCGAGTTCCAATCGCATCTTCTCGAATTTTTCTCTACTCAAGGGCTTAGTAAGAATGTCAGCAATTTGATATTCAGTTTGAACAAAATCTAATCTTATTGAGCCCTTTTCTACATTATCCTTTAGGAAATGATGCCTTACATGAATGTGTTTAACACGAGAGTGATGTACTGGATCTTTTGATATGAAAATTGCACTAGTATTATCACAGTATATAGGAACACATTCTAAAACTATGCCTAAGTCACGCAGATGTTGTTTTATCCACAACAATTGTGAGCAACATGCAGCAGCAGCTACATACTCTGCTTCGGCTGTGGATAGAGCAACAGTATTTTGTTTCTTGGAACTCCAAGAAACTAAACAAGAGCCTAAGAATTGAACCATACGTGAAGTGCTCTTGCGATTTACCAAATCCCGAGCATAGTCAGCATCAGCAAATCCATAAAGGTCAAATGTATCACTTCTTGGGTAGAATAAACTCAAGTCATCCGTCCCTTTAAGATATCTCGGTATTCTTTTGACGGCAGTGAGATGCGACTTTAGGATTAAATTGGAACCTACCACAAAGACCAACACTAAAAGAAATATCAGGCCTACTCGTAGTTAAATATAATAAGGAACCAATCATACCTCTGTATTTAGTTTGATCCACACAAGTTCCCAAGGGATCTTCATCTAGTCTAGAGTTTGTTCCCATGGGAGTGTGGTTAATCTTTGCTGTATCAAGGTTGTACTTCTTCAGAAGTTCCTTGACGTATTTTTGCTGATGGATATATATGCCTATTTCAGTTTGTTTGATTTGCAAACCGAGAAAGAAATTGAGTTCCCCCATCATACTCATTTGGAACTCGCTACACATCAACTCAGCAAAATACTTGCACAAAGATTCGTTAGTTGCACCAAATATTATATCATCAACATAAATCTGTACAACTAAAAGATGAGTTCCTTTGGATTTTAAAAACAAAGTTTTATCAATTTTTCCTCGTTTAAAATCATTTTCAAGAAGGAACTTGGATAGTCTTTCATACCATACTCTTGGAGCCTGTTTTAGCCCGTAGAGAGTCTTGTTATGTCAAGTTTAAAAACATGGTCAGGAAAGTTTGGATTTTCGAATCCAGGGGTTTGATCGACGTAAACCGTTTCTTTTAATAAACCATTTAGAAAAGCGCACTTTACGTCCATCTGATACAGTTTAAAACCCATGAAAGGAGCAAACGAGATTAGAATTCTAATAGCTTCAAGTCTAGCAACAAGAGAAAAAGTCTCTTCAAAATCTATTCCTTCTTGTTGGCTATAGCCCTTTACAACCAATCTAGCCTTGTTTCTAACAATAGTTCCATATTCATCAAGTTTGTTTCTAAAGACCCATTTTAAACCTATAACCTTTTTATCTAATGGTTTAGGTTCAAGATGCTATACCTGATTTCTTTCAAATTCTTTGAGTTCCTCTTGCATGTCAATGATCCAGTCAGAGTCTTCTAAGGCTTCTTTGTGATTGCGAGGCTCCAGAGTTGATAGAAAAGCGTTGAAGGCACAGAAGTTCCTCATTTGCGATCTCGTCTGAGTTCCTTTGCTCAAGTCACTTATGATTTTGTCCAGTGGATGTGACTTTTGGTGCTTCCAAGGTTTGGGCTAGAAGGTTTGAGCGAGAACTCGATTAATGTTATTTTCTGAGGCTTCTGATTCTTCTGCTTCATTTTCTTCTTGATTCTGGTTCTCTGTAGTTTCTTCATTTTGAGGATTTTCAGGTGTAGGAACTTCAGTATGTACATCGAGTTCCTCCTCCTGATTTTTAATTACTCAAGTTGGCTGCTTATTTGGTAGTACTGCATCTTCTTCTTGATCTTGAGAGCAAACTAGACCAATCTCAAAGTCATAGTCTTCATGTTCCTATGTACATGGAAAAGGGTTAGTTTCATCAAAAATTATATGTACACTTTCCTCAACACACATAGTACGTTTATTGTAAACTCTATAAGCTTTACTGTTAATAGCATAGCCAAGAAATATAGCTTCTTCACTCCTTTCATCAAAATTCCCTATGTTCCTTTTTCCATTATTATGATCAAAACAGGTACAACCAAACGCTCTCAGGTGAGATATATTTGGTTTCCTTCCTTTTAATAACTCATAGGGTGTCTTATTTAATAAAGGCCTTAGCATGACACGATTAATAATATAAAAGGTTGTATTCACGGCTTCTGCCCAGAAGTTCCTTGGAAGATCACTGGCTATTAACATGGTTCGAGCCATGTCTTCTAAGGTTCTGTTTTTCCTTTCAACAACTCCATTTTGCTGTGGAGTTATAGGAGCCGAGAAATTATGACTCAAGCCTCCCTGCATAAAACATCAAATTTAAAATTTTCAAATTCAGTGCCATGATAGGATCTAAGATGTATCAGTTGATGACCTGTGGACTTTTGAATTCTCCTGGAAAATGTAACAAACTCGTCAATAGTCTCATCTTTACTAGATAGAAAAATAACCCATGTGAATCTAGATTTATCATCAACCATGACTAAGACATATTTCTTTCCACTTCTACTTTGAATTTTCATTGGACCACACAAATCCATATGAATTAATTCTAAAGGTTTCGTGGAACTCACCATCTTCTTGGATTTAAAGGATGATCGAACCTGCTTCCCTTTTACACAAGCATCACATATTTTATCACATAGGAACTTAATTGAAGGAAGTCCTTCTACCAAGTTCCTTGTTCTCAATTTATCAATTAGTGAAAAACTTGCATGACCAAAACATTTATGCCAAAGCAAAGGATCATCCTCAATGACACTGAGGCAGGTTAAGTTGTTCCTTGGAACTATATTAAGATCCATTGTATAAGTGTTTCCTTTCCGAGTTCCTTCCAGCAAAACTTTCTCAGTGTCATTCTGAATGATGCTACATTTCTCAGAATAAAAACTTATAGAGTTACCTTTATCACAGAATTGTGATATACTCAATAAACTATGTTTGAGGCCCTCGACTAGAAAAACATTATCAATAGCTTGGGAACTTGACCTTCCAACTTTGCCGATAACAATGATGTTTCCTTTCTTTTTATCTCCAGAGGTCACAGTTCCTCCAGTATAGGCCGTTAGTGAGAGAAATCTTTATTCATCTCCTGTCATGTGCTTGGAACAACCACTATCGAGGTACCATTGGTTGTTCCCCCTCACTAGGACCTGCAAAAGAAACTAAGGGTTAGATTCAGGAACCCCATCTTTCATGGGTTCCTGCGTTGATACAGCAGACTCTTTCTTTTTCCATACATATGTCATATTTTTAGTAGACTTTAGTTCCTTTCTTTTACATTCAGTGTCTTTGTGTCCTGACTTGCCACAAAAGGAACACACAGTCTCACTAGGAAGTTCCACATATTTTTTCTTTTTACTACTACTCTTCTTTTTGTGGTTGAAACCCAAACCCTCTGTCCTTCTGGTTTGAGCTTCGAATATCCACTTTGGAACTCCCATGTGGATTGCACTTTTGTTGTTTCTAGCTCTTTCTAGATCCTTTTCAAGGGATTCATTTTTATCTTTAGTAATCTGTAATTCTTTCTTCAAATTTTCAAGGTCATCATTAAAAGTTACTAAAGACAATTGAAGAGCATTGTTAGAATCAATATTAGTGCATAACAATTTATATTGAGTCAATTCAACATTCAATATAATATTTTCATTTTTGACTCTTTCTAGAGAATCTTTTAACATGGTATTTTTATCAAGTAGATCGAAAAATCTTCCCTGAACATCGGTTCTTGAGCTGTTTAAATATTTCATATGATCCTTATAGATTTCTAGTGCTTTTTCATTTTGTCCGAGCTTAAGACACATTTCTTTGTATTCATCTAAAGTCTCTATAAGCAAAGAGATTAGTTTGTCTTTTGAAAGAGATTTCAGAAATTTTGGTTTGAGATTTACCTCATCAGACTTTTTAGCAGACTCACTGTGCTTAGCCATCAAGCAAAGGTTTTTCGTCTCTTCTTCCGTGGGTTCCTCTTCATCCTCGGAACTTGTGTCTCCCCACGCTGCTATCATAGCTTTCCTGTAATAATATTTGGAGAAGTTAGGAGTATAGGTTTTTCCTTGTTCCTTCATCTTTCCCTTTCCTTTTTCTGACTCCCAAAGGGGACATTCCTTGATAAAATGATCAGTATTTCCACATTTATGGCATCCTCCTGTTTCCTTGGAATACTGGTTCTTCTTGAAGTTCCTTTTCCTTTGGTCTCCAAACTTTTTGTTGCGGTACAACTTCTTTAACCTCCTGACTAGCATAGCAGCTTTTTCCTCTTCAGACTCAGAATCCTCTTCACTTGGTTGGGCATCTTTTAGAGCAATGATAGGCTTATCGCGTACCTAACAAAAATAACCTAACTATTCCTTCTAACTGTGTAGTAGGGCAAGTAAGGATCGAATCCCAAGAGACTATGGTTCATTCAATTAATCAGACTCAATTAATCACTAAGCACGTGACCAATCAATAATGGATGATAATAATCAACTAATTTATTAAATAACACAATTAACTAGAGGAAATATTAATCAATAAACTAAAGCATCCAAGATCAAGCATCACCACGATTATGATTGATAAACTAATAAATCTACCCCCAATATATAAATCAATTGACAAGAAGAAAAGCAATCCCTAATAATAATACCAAAGGTCTCTTCCGAGTTATCAATGGCTTCCCAAATTAACTATCAAGCCTACTTCCGTGGAATCAAGCGAATAAGGGACATTAAACACCATGCCTAGATTCCTAATTATTCAATCATCTACTTCCGTGATGATCTTCAAACCCTTAATTGAAATAACCTAATCCCGTTAATACCCAACTTCCGTTGCAATAAGAACAAAGGGATGATAACAATACTAATTATCCCTAATCTAGTATTGGCATAAACACAATCAATTAAGCATGTCAATTGGGATTATTATTGGGGAATTTAAAGATCTACTTTATACATCAATCATAATCGGGCTTAGCAAGATCCCGGATTAAGGAAACTACTCACAAATCATAATTAAATCAAAAACAAGATCTAATAGAGAACACATAATTAAAGAACTATAAAATAAATAAAAGAGATGGAAAGTAAGAAATACCAAATACTTCAATTGATGATCTTGAATTCTTGAGGAACAATTAATAAAACTAGGATTAAAGATTGAAATTGCTTAAGAAAATAAAACTAGGGTTCTTGAGAGTTTTCTAGGGCTTAAGGAGAAAACTAATGAAAAACTAACTGTCTAAAAGTTAATTACAAAAGGGTATTTATACCCCCAAAAGATAATATTTCGGAAAAATAAGAAAATACGCGTTCTTGAGCTTTGCCCGGTCTGACCGGGCGGACCTCGCCCGATCGGGCGGAGGAAGGCTGCGTAAAATACGACAGTTTTCCTTCTTTGCCCGGTCTGACCGGGCGAACCTCGCCCGGTCGGGCGCGCGTAACACGTTTCCAAAATTGCATCTCATAACTTGATTTCTTCATCGCCCGGTCTGACCGGGCGAAGCCTGCCCGATCGGGCGCGCGTTGCACCGTTCAGAATTGGGCTTCTTCCTGTGAACTCCTCATTGCCCGGTCTGCCCGGGCAAGCCATGCCCGGTCGGGCATTCCACATAAATTGCAGTTCTTGGCTATCAACTCTTCCGAATCTACTAAAAACACGTCCAATTGCCTAGAAACGCTTCATATTCCTGAAAAGCTTACTAAAACAATCGAATACACTAAAGAAGAGATTGTTAGCAAGAAATAGCTCCGTAGAGCTCAAAACCATGTAAAATCATGCAATCAAACCGGGGAAAACCATTGTATAAAACACGTATATCAAATTCCCCCAAGCTAAACCTTTGCTTGTCCCTAAGCAAAGCAATGAATAAATAAATCAATACTTCACCCCAAAAGCAATTCAAATCAATAAATACGATTAAAGGTAAACTCGACAGTTATGCATCAAAGTCAACCAATCAAATCCATCTGACTACTCATCCTGTCTGACAATAGTCACATAGAGCAAACCACAAGAGCATATAGAATTCAAGACTAGTGTTCACACACTCAACTCTCATTTATGTGGCGAGTAAAAGATATACTCGATCGCTCTCCATCCAACTCCTTTAAATGTGAACAATGCCCTCCCAAACTCACGCACTCGTGTGTTTAAAGAAAACAAGCACTCAACCTAGCAGTCGACTCGAAATATATCAAATCATTCTTTGCATTGGAAAACAACTAATTTCACATTCACACAACTCTATGCACAAAGGTCAGAAGGTCTTCAAAGCTTGTAATGTAAGGCTAGGATAAAAGGTAGGAAATATTTGGGAAAATGTAAGAGTAAAGCTATGCTTAAGGGAGCCAAAATCCTAATAAATAAAACCAAGGTCAAAATGAATTAATGACCAAATCATCTCCAACACAACTCAACTCTACCAAAAATTCACCAAACATCCAATTATATTAAAAATTTCCAACACTTAAAATTTCACTCATATATACAAAATATAAAATTATAGAACTTGAGTAAACAAACAAACTTTGAACTCTCCTTTTTTTTCTTGAGCAGCCTTCAATTAGAACACTTGAACATTGAAACAATTTTTTTTTTCCTTTGCTCTTTCTTTTTCTTTTCTCTCACATTGGAATTTTTTTTTTTTTCTTTGCACAATAAATTTTCAATTTTTTTTTCTTTTTTTCAATCCACAACAATAAGAACAAATAAGAAACTTCTCAAATCCACCCAAAATTGTGCAAATTACATGCACACTACAACTCCCTCGCCTCACTCACTATTAGCTCCCCCAAGCTAAGCTTGGGACTAGTAACCAATGGGGCTTAAATAGGCTTGTAATGTGGCAAAATAAACAATAAAAGGGCACAAGCAACAACATGGGTAGCAAGAAGGGAACAAATGTATCTAATATCGTCTGAAAGCCACCTAGAGGAACAAATGCCTTCGTCCTCCTCAATGTGCATATTAATGAGTCATGCAAACATTACTCAAAGTTATAAACCAATACTCAACTTCATTGACATACCAGGAACTAACACACATTCCTAACCAAATCAACTAGTCAAGCACTATATTTACAAGTAGTTGGGCAAAATTGACTCATGTTAAGACATCCAAGTAATCAAACATCAAATCATGGCTAACCTATCCACAATACTCGTCATCATATACCAAGAATTAAAACAATTTTCATGAATGGGGCACAGGGAAGCATGATTTATTATTCATTGGATCGTATTTTTTGTATGTTTTTTTTTTTTTTTTTTTTTTTTTAAAAAACAACTAAAATAACTACACTAAAATAAAACAAGAAAGATAAGAGAGATAAGGAGAGAGAGAGTACCACATGTACGAAGCAACTCCCCCAAGCTAAATGCGGCAATGGCCTCATTGCAGCGTAAGGAGAGCATAGGAATCTCGACGGCTCCTCAAAAAGAATCGGGTTGCCTCCCGCAAGCGCTTGTTTAGAAGGTCATTAGCTTGACCGTATTCATCCTCATTGAGTTTGTGGTGAGGAAGAGAATGTGATATCTGACTTTTCTTCAATAGGATCTCCCGCTCGATAGTGCTTCACCCTTTGTCCATTGACTTTGAAGGTGCCCCCGGTGTTGTTCCATAATTCAATGGTGCCATAAGGGTATGCTTTGTAGACCGTGAAAGGGCCCGACCATCTTGACCTGAGTTTCCCTGGAAATAGTTTCAACCTTGAATTGAATAGAAGGACTTGCTCTCCTTCTTTCACAGAATTTGGAGGGGGAAGTTTCTCTATTACCTCTACTTTGGCTTTGTCCACCTCAATCCCTTTGTTTGAAACTACATGGCCTAAAACGATTCCCTGTTGTACCATAAAATGGCACTTCTCCCAGTTCAATATCAGATTGACATCCTGGCATCTATGGAGCACCTTTGTTAGATTATCAAGGCAAATATCGAAAGATGAACCATAAACAGAAAAATCATCCATAAAAACTTCCATAGAATTTTCTATGAGACCTGAGAAAATAGCCATCATACACCGTTGGAACGTGGCTGGGGCATTACACAGTCCAAATGGCATTCTGCGATATGCGAAGGTGCCATATGGACATGTGAATGTAGTCTTTTCCTGATCACAAGGGCGGATGGGGATTTGAAAAAAACCGGAATATCCATCCAAGTAACAGAAAAAGGAATGGTTAGCCAATCGTTCGAGCATTTGATCAATGAAAGGCAAGGGGAAATGATCTTTACGGGTGGCTTTATTTAATTTTCTGTAATCAATGCACATCCGCCACCCTGTAACAGTTCTTGTGGCAACAGGCTCGCCTTTGTCATTCTTGACAACTGTCATACCTCCTTTCTTTGGTACTACTTGTACAGGACTAACCCACTTACTATCTGAGATAGGGTAGATTATTCCTGCAGCAAGCAATTTGAGAACCTCTTTCTTGACTACCTCCATCATAGTTGGGTTTAGTCTTCTTTGAGGTTCTCTAGAGGAGGCATGATCGTCCTCAAGAATGATCTTATGCATACAAAAAGAGGGATTAATACCCTTGATATCATCAATGGTATACCCAATAACATTTCTATATTTTCTTAAAACAGCGAGAAGTTTCTCTAATTCAATGTTATTAAGCTCAGCATTAACAATAACAGGGTATGTATTTTTGGGACCAAGATATGCATATTTAAGATTAGATGGAAGGGGTTTCAACTCTACCTCGGGAGGCGTTGAACTCTCCCCAACACTCGATGTACTAAGGACTTCCTTGACTGGAGCGATGATTGGATTAGCTTTTGCGTCTTCTAGTAGCCTCGTGTACTCCCTTACTTCCCAATCTTCATCATGGATACTTCCTATCAACACCGTTTCAAGAGCATCTTCCTTTTTGATCAGGGGAAGTTGTTCTTGTTGTAGATCATCGAGGACATCCACTTGACAAATAGTCTCACCCATAGACGGATTTCCCATAGCATTCAGTAATGAATACTCCATTTTCTCATCCCCTACTTCAAATGTTATTTTCCCATTCTTCATGTCAATAATTGCACCTGCAGTAGCTAAGAATGGTCTACCAAGAATAATAGGGACATGGGCATCTTCTTCCATTTCCATAACAACAAAATCACATGGAATAAAGAATTTACCAACTCGCAATGGAACATCTTCAAGTATACCGAGGGGAAATTTAACTGACCTGTCTGCAAGTTGCAGAGATATCCTTGTAGGCTTTAGCTCACCCATTTGAAGCTTTTCGCAGATGGAGAGCGGCATAAGGCTTACACTTGCACCAAGATCGCATAGCGCTCTATTGATCTCTATATCTCCCAGCTTCACTGGGATTGAATAGCTGCCTGGATCACCTAGTTTCTTAGGAAGAGTGTTTTGCAGAATGGCACTACATTCTGCAGTTAGAGAAACAGTAGCATTCTCTGCAAGCTTTTTCTTGTTAGATAGCATGTCTTTCAAAAACTTTGCATAAGAAGGCATTTCAGAAATTGCATCCAAGAACGGTATATTAATGTGAAGTTTCTTAAGGATGTCTAGAAATTTACCGTACTTTTTCTCTAACTTAGCCTGGGCTAACCTCTGTGGAAAAGGGACGCTTGGAATGTATTCCCGTGGCTTTTCTTGAACATCATTCCTTGGAATTGGGCTGTCTGGATCTCGCGCCCGGTCGGGCAGTGATTGCCCGGTCTGACCGGGCGAAGAAGAGCTGCTTATGTTCTTTTGTTTGTCTGGAATTTCTTCGTGCGCCCGATCGGGCGGACTTTGCCCGGTCTGACCGGGCGAAGAAGAAATTCGCACATTCCCCTGTTTTTCGTCGACTGCTTCTCGCGCCCGATCGGGCCGACCTTGCCCGGTCTGACCGGGCGAAGAAGAACTTTGCCGATTTCCCTGTTTTTCACTCATTCCCTCAATATCTATCGTTGATGGTTCCCTTACGGGAAGGCCTTCCAACTGTTTTCCACTCCTTAAAATTACAGCATTCATGTGCCCCTTTTGTGGTTGCTCTGTTTGGCCAGGAAACGTACCCGGTGTTTTTGAAGATTGGCCGACTTGATGAGCAAGTTGGCTTATTTGATTTTCCATGAGCTTATTCTGGGCTTGTAACTGTTGGATGGAATTATTTGTGGTGTTGATGAAGTTCTCCATCATTAGTTCGAGATTGGATTTTTGAGGGGGTGGTTGCATGGGTTGCATGGGTTGTTGTACTAGGGGTGGTCTTGGTTGGAAACCAGGTGGATTATAATTGTTGTTTCGAGGTGGGGGCGGAGGTGGATTTTGCTGAGCTTGGGTGTTTTTGTATGAGAAGTTTGGGTGATTCTTCCAACCTTCATTATAAGTATTAGAATGGGGATCGTATGGTCTTTTAGGGTTGGAATTGTAGAAGGCATTGGCTTCCTCAATTGATACCTCATTCGAATTTCGTGGGCAATTAGGTGCGATGTGACCTTGAGTATTACACATTTGACAAGTTTCTAGCACATTATTGGAAGATCCAGTTTGTAGTCTATCGAACTTGCTTGAAAGTGCCTGCACAGAACTAGTTAAAAGAGTTAGAGCATCAACATCTAATTTACCTCCTTTCTTGACATTATTTCGGCCGCCTGGGTGATAGTTGTCATTGGCTGACATCTTCTCAACCAGCTCCTTTGCTTCGGTTGGATTTTTAGTTAGAAGGGAGCCTCCAGATGCGGCGTCGATATAGATCCGGAACTCATGGGTTAGACCATTATAGAATGTTTGGATTAACATCCATTCAGGTATGCCATGATGGGGGCACTGTCTCTGTAACCTCTTGAATCTCCTCCATGCGTCATATAAGGATTCTTCATCTGATTGCCTGAAAGTGGATAGCTCGTTCCTTAATCTTGCAGTCTTTTCTTGTCCCAAGAACTTGACCAGAAAAGCTTTTACTAGTTTATCCCATGTATCAAAGGAACCAGAACCCTCATCTCTTAACCATTCCTTCGCCCTATCCCGTAATGAGAATGGAAAAAGGCGAAGTCTAAGAGCATCATCTGTAACACCATTCAGCTTCATAGTGTCACACTTTTCCAAGAAACCATCTATATGATTCACTGGGCAATCAAGAGGTGTGCCAGCAAATGAATCATTGGATATGAATTGAATAAATTGCGGTTTCAATTCAAAATTCTGAGCGGTGATAGGTGGTCTAATAATGCTAGAAAGGAGTCCGGTTGTTGTGTCAGGGATACCGTACTCCAAAAGAGACTTTGTTGCTTGGTCTTCCATATTTCTGTTACCTGCTCTTCTTCTACCTCTTCGTCTTCTTGCAGTCGCTTCAATTTCTGAATCGAGAGGCACTAAGTCGTCTGACCCTGAGTGACGTGTTTGCATACAACAAAGAACTAGGCAAAGAACATCAAAAACACAGGAGACAATAGCCGAAGCAACAAACAACGCTTAGTATAAACGAATCACGAAAAATCAATATGAAACCGTTAGTCCCCGGCAACGGCGCCAAAATTTGATAGGCTTATCGCGTACCTAACAAAAATAACCTAACTATTCCTTCTAACTGTGTAGTAGGGCAAGTAAGGATCGAATCCCAAGAGACTATGGTTCATTCAATTAATCAGACTCAATTAATCACTAAGCACGTGACCAATCAATAATGGATGATAATAATCAACTAATTTATTAAATAACACAATTAACTAGAGGAAATATTAATCAATAAACTAAAGCATCCAAGATCAAGCATCACCACGATTATGATTGATAAACTAATAAATCTACCCCCAATATATAAATCAATTGACAAGAAGAAAAGCAATCCCTAATAATAATACCAAAGGTCTCTTCCGAGTTATCAATGGCTTCCCAAATTAACTATCAAGCCTACTTCCGTGGAATCAAGCGAATAAGGGACATTAAACACCATGCCTAGATTCCTAATTATTCAATCATCTACTTCCGTGATGATCTTCAAACCCTTAATTGAAATAACCTAATCCCGTTAATACCCAACTTCCGTTGCAATAAGAACAAAGGGATGATAACAATACTAATTATCCCTAATCTAGTATTGGCATAAACACAATCAATTAAGCATGTCAATTGGGATTATTATTGGGGAATTTAAAGATCTACTTTATACATCAATCATAATCGGGCTTAGCAAGATCCCGGATTAAGGAAACTACTCACAAATCATAATTAAATCAAAAACAAGATCTAATAGAGAACACATAATTAAAGAACTATAAAATAAATAAAAGAGATGGAAAGTAAGAAATACCAAATACTTCAATTGATGATCTTGAATTCTTGAGGAACAATTAATAAAACTAGGATTAAAGATTGAAATTGCTTAAGAAAATAAAACTAGGGTTCTTGAGAGTTTTCTAGGGCTTAAGGAGAAAACTAATGAAAAACTAACTGTCTAAAAGTTAATTACAAAAGGGTATTTATACCCCCAAAAGATAATATTTCGGAAAAATAAGAAAATACGCGTTCTTGAGCTTTGCCCGGTCTGACCGGGCGGACCTCGCCCGATCGGGCGGAGGAAGGCTGCGTAAAATACGACAGTTTTCCTTCTTTGCCCGGTCTGACCGGGCGAACCTCGCCCGGTCGGGCGCGCGTAACACGTTTCCAAAATTGCATCTCATAACTTGATTTCTTCATCGCCCGGTCTGACCGGGCGAAGCCTGCCCGATCGGGCGCGCGTTGCACCGTTCAGAATTGGGCTTCTTCCTGTGAACTCCTCATTGCCCGGTCTGCCCGGGCAAGCCATGCCCGGTCGGGCATTCCACATAAATTGCAGTTCTTGGCTATCAACTCTTCCGAATCTACTAAAAACACGTCCAATTGCCTAGAAACGCTTCATATTCCTGAAAAGCTTACTAAAACAATCGAATACACTAAAGAAGAGATTGTTAGCAAGAAATAGCTCCGTAGAGCTCAAAACCATGTAAAATCATGCAATCAAACCGGGGAAAACCATTGTATAAAACACGTATATCAAGCAATTTCCCGGCTCTTTGAGCTTTCTTGACTTTTGTTTGATAGGTGAAGCTCATGAGTTATCAAGGAACCTGCAAGTTGTTCAAGATTAAAAGTTGTAAAGTCCTTTGATTCCTGTAAAGCCGCCACCTTGGATCTCCAACGTTCGTCTTCAGGAAGGCTCCTTAGAATTCTGTGTACCTGTTCATCCATAGGAATAACTCTACCAAGAGAAACTAATTCATTAGTAATACTTTTAAAACGAGTAAACATATCTTGAATAGTTTCTTTTGAACCCATTTCAAATCGTTCATATTCAGAAAGAAGTATATCAATTTTAGAACGTTTGACTTCATGAGTTCCTTCGTGGGTTATTTCGAGTAAATCCCATATTTCTTTTGTTGTTTTACATCCCATAACACTTGTATGCTCATCTGGCCCTAAACCCAAAACTAGGAGTTTTTTGGCAGTGGCATTAATCTCTTTCTTCTCAAAATCGCTTCTATCGTATTTAGAGATAGGTTTAGGAATTACCTCATTTTCTGCATTTGTCTTTGTTACCTCATAATCTTCTACTTCGATAGCACGCCATACTCGATAGTTCTCAGACTGAATAAACATCTCCATTCTTGTCTTCCAATAGGCGTAGTACTTTCCATTGAAGAGTGGAGGTCGTTGGGTTGAGTATCCTTTTGCTAATCTTTCATCTTTCGACATCGTTCCTCCAGGAACTTGACTCGACAGGGCTTCCTGCTATACGGAGTTCCTTGCTCTGATACCAATTGAGAGAACAATGTCTACTACAAGAGGGGGGGTGAATTGTAGACTATAGAAAATTTTGCGGAATTAAACTATCTACTAAGAGAGAAGACACTCGAGATAGGCAATGAATAATTTCACTATGTAAAGATGAATTACAATCGCTAATATTCTGCCTAGACTCAAGTTCCGTGAGGAACTCAAGTTTCCCAACTACGATCCCTCAATCGCAGTTTCTCACTCTTTGTTATTCTGCTCCGAATCACTTGTACAATGTGAAGAACTCTCTCAAGCCTCACACTTACAACTCTCACAAACCCCAATCCCAATTACAAAGTAATTACAGGATTTTCCTAATGCACTCGAGGAACTCAATGATGAAAGAAACTCAACTTTAAAACGCTTAGAAACTTTTTACGCTCAGAAAACTGAAGTTGTTTTTCCACACTTTAAAACAGCAATGTTGAATGCTTTTTTTGGGAGATTAGTTAAGCCTCAACCATGTTCCCCCTTCCCCCTCTATCCCACGTTCACCTTAACTGGAGAGTTAGGATGTACGTTGAAGGAGTGGAGAAACATGCTTCACTGACTTGTCTCCCAAGTTCAACGTGAATCCACAATTTTAGGCAACCGAAAAATACTCGGTCAAATCAGTTTAAAAGAATATTTATTAAAAGATAATTATTTAAGAAAGAATAATAACAAAAAGATAATTCAAATAATTATTTAATTTAAAATAAACTTATCTTTAAATTAAAGAATTATTTAACTTTTATTTATTTCTAAAACAAAATCTTTTCACACTGATTTTTATCGTTTCCTTAAATTAAGGATTTCAAAAACTGTTTTAAAATCTTTCGTAAAAATCTTTTCTGAGTCATACGTTAAGTTCCTTTAGGGACTCCAGGTTCCTTCAGGAACTTCAAGTTTCTTATTAGTTCCTTCCAACACTTTGTTTCTCAAGTACGTACAAAAATATTCTAAGTATTGGAGCTTGTGAGGATATCTTAAAAGCTTGCTTGTTACGTCAAGATTTCCAAACTCTTTTGTTCCTACTCCGGAACATTTAGCTTTGTACCTGAATCTTCTGTTCAACCAAGACTTACACACATCATTAGTCAGAGTTTGTTTTATGTATGTCAATCATCAAAATATTAAGGTAGTCAATTCAACAATAGAGTATAAAACATATTCGTGGGCCTCAACCATAAGCTTAAGCTTTTAGTTGTTTAGTCTTCTAACGTGGTATTGGAGCCATCGCGCAGGGTATGCGGGAGGCCCATGCCTCATCTACATGAGGCGTGATAGAGTATAAAACATATTCTTGGACCTCAACCATTATGCTGCTCATAAATCTGATACTTATTGCAGTGATCCATCCTTATATTGCAACTTTGATTCAATTCCGTTTAAGTAATTCTGATTTGATGTTCAGTTTTATGGTGCTCTCAATGATACGATTTTTAACATCCTGGTTTTAGATCTTTACGCCGATGGAGTTCATGTGAAAAAGCTATTGTACTGTTGCGCTCCATGCACGGTCAAGCAAGGCCTATTACCGTAAAACCTGGGTTATCTTTCCCTGTTCGAAGTTGTCTGTGTGTTGATTTTAGTTACTGTAAAAAAGTTACTTCATACTTGGTTACCTTCAAAGTTTCTGTTTTAATTCCATCTCAAAATTTGTTCAATTTGTTTACTGCAGATTAATCCTTGATCGACATGATCCTCAGTTTTAGTTGTGCTATGTTATAAATTGCAATTTGCAACACATTGCAGAGATTACTATATATTTCTTGTACTATACACATAAAAACACATGCGTAATCTAAAAAAAAGTTTATTAACCTTATTATATACTTTGTATATACACACATAAAAAAAAAAATAAATAAAAAATAAAAAAATAAATAAAAAATTGGCTTCGTCATAAGACTACAAGAATACAATAGTTTCTTGTTATACTAATTATTTACCAATTTACCTTGTCGAGTATTAACTTTAGAGTGTAATACTTAAAATGTGAGATCAAATCACATCTACACGTACCACTTTTGTGTGTGTATCTATATTATTTACCCTAACAAAATCATGGTATAAATGCCGTTCAATTTGGTGAGGCAAAGAGAGTTGAATCCAACTTTTTATTTTAGAGAGCTTTGTACAAAGGAGAGAAAAGCTCCATTTGATGGATGAACTGTACATCATGGATAATCGGGTTACCCGTTCTTCCTGGTGGAGATCCAGAACAGGATGGAGAACAACCACCACAAGTAGACGCATATCCTTCATTTAACCTCTGCAGAAATATAATTAAACATGATATGATAAGATTTTAAGATTATTATAATTTATTAAGAATGTTAATCACTTGATAATAGTCATAAATCACTAACCTTTTCATCAAGCAAGCTCAAAATTGCGTTCTTTCCATCACTATTTGACTGATTTGTTTGCCTATAATGCAACATAAGAACTAAGAAACTTTTGCCCTTTTTTGGGGTGATAAAAGATTAACAATTATGAAAGCATAATCATATTTGGACTTGAGAATTCATGTGAGTTCTAAGATCTTCAAAAGTGATATATTAGATAATTATGGTATAGTAGTAAATAGATAACTTCTGAAATTCGAAGTTTATCTACAATATCTTTCAATAAATAAAAATAGTTTCTTTATCTTTTAACTTCTTTAATTTATCTACTAGTATTAAGAATTCTAAATTCTAATCACCCCCTTAATGCCCTTAATTAAAGTTTCGGATAACAGAGTTTATAAAAGTTTAATTACTCTTTTAGGATTATTTGTATAGGATATATAGATAGTTGTATTTTTAGAAAGCTTAGGTTCCAAATCATTTGCAAAGTAATTTTAAAGCAAACGGAAACTTACGTTCATCATATTATGTCTCATTTTTGAATTACTATTAACATACTTCATGATCAAACAATAAAATTTAAATCATTCAAGAACATCCTGCGATGAATCCATATAAATCGAGAAATCCTCATAACACCTTATTCTAAAATTGAATGAGAATTCTTATTTTGACGTGAACAGGGCATCTTATGTATACGAACAAACGAAATATAGAGAATTAGAGATACGAACCTGTTTTTGGTGCATCTGGGAGGCTTGAGAACTTCAGGGATGTAGGTAACAGGCCGACGTGGCTTCGGACAAACAGGCCGGTTCTTGCTTCCACCATTGGACTGCTCTGAATCAACTGAATCCCTAAGACTGTTCTTCGTAACTTTACCTCTCATTCTCTTTGATCTCCTCTGAAAATTTAACACACCTCAAGAAGCTCGAAAACGTTGTGGTGATGACTTTTATATGCCACTTAACTCCTTTATTCATAAGACATTCATGTGCCATATATAAACAGGAGTGTTGAAGTTTAAAATTAGCCACATTTTAGAGAGATAATTATGCTTTATAAGTACGGAATTAGTAGGAGTTGGCCATAATGGTCTCTTAAAGCAACAAGAGTAGAATGTTTTGCTTGGTTGAGAGTGGATTTAGGGAGAAGCATTGACCAAATCCTCATTTATAGTAGGAAACTTCTGTTTTTCTTCTCTTCTATTCATTTTCTTTTTCACCTTTTTTTCACTTATATATAAGTATATTAAAACTCGTTCTGCACATGAATTTCATTAACAAATTCGCAGTATAAATGTCTCGGCCACCTTATATTACCAAAAAAAACCATCTCAGACAGCTAGTTTCTTCAGATCTCACATGGATGGCTTGGCAATCCCTGCATAATTGAATAGAATACCAAAAACAGATCCAATGCATTTCGGAATTAGTGAAAAGACCAAGATCCTCTCTAGTAACAGGACGATCTAGTTAATGCCTTATGGGAGGAGTTTAACAATATGAAGTGTTTTTCTTTCATTCTTCCAATCCAATGACTGGGGAGAATCTTTTCTCCTGGAACCCTTTTTTTTTTGTGCATTTGGTATTCTAAAGGAGGCAAATGACCGAAAGCAGAAAACAAAGAAATGTATGCACGACTGAAGTAAAAAAGAATATATCTGAATAAGCAATAAGAATTATGTACATGAACCAAAAAAGTAGTAACCGTGTACTCACTTGCAAACCCGTGACAGATTTACACATTATGAACAAGAGGAATTCAATCTGCAAGTGTTGAAACCTCGTATCAACTATAAATTGTATCCCAATCAAACCTAGGTTGTGAGAACACCTCGTAATCAATCGGCCCTTCCAAAACACGATCAACAGTTTGGACATCTTGTAAGATAGCAGGCTGAAAGCCATCACTTACTGATGGTAACAGTTTATACATCACCATAACGCCCAGAGTGAATATTGCTTGTAGCTTCATCAAGTCCCCATGGATTGAAAAGAAGATGAGCATAGAGATCAGATAAAGATCCACACAGAAACGCATGATTGATAATACTGTATCCATCAGTTTACCATCGTTACCAGCAGGAAAACCCCGAACTCGGTAAACAAATAAGAAGTTGTACTTATCGACCATGTACCTGTAACCAAAGTAAATAGCACCAACTGGAACCACAAGAGGAGCAAATGAGGAGTAGATCATTGTAAGGGCAAATATGGTGAGGTTAAAAGCATAATACAGAGCAAAATCGAAGTTTTGCTTAGGCATGGATGAAGCTCCGCTAACTGGATAGACAGAGAGATCATGTCCCTGTAAATCAATCACATTCAACCTTCCACCATTTCTAACTGCAGGCTCAAATTCTTCTTCGGGGATCAAAGGTCTGCGAAGGGTATCAATTACATCGGATTCTAGCGGATAGTCTTCAGTGTGTTCAGGTACTAGTTGAAGCATGTCATTCTTCCGAAACTTCTGCAGATTCCTCTTTATCCATGGAATTGGCGTAAGTAAATCAACAGATATACCCAGGAAAGTGCAAGTAATCAGAAATGCAAGCGACGAAAGGCATGATTTAGCCAAAAAGGAAGCACTCATATACTGCTCAATCCGCTTGCAATCTTCCCCATCCAAATAACATCGCCCCATGCTCAGGATTGTGCTCTCAAGAGAAGACTCAACCAAACCCCTTAAAACTATTAGGTTTACCAAAAAGAAGCAAACCATTTTGATCAGTGCTGCCTTTTGTTCCCCTGAAACTGTAAGGTGCTTTTCAAACTTGGAGAGGTAGGACAAAGCTGCTGGGATTAATATATACATGCTCACAAACACAAGCACATTAGGCAAGAACTGAAGGAATATTGCTGCGATCCAACTTGAGCTTTGCAGCCAAGATAACCATGATTCAGCATTATCCATGGCTTCTGCATTGATAATCCTTCCTGCCCTCTGTAAAGCAGATATCACAGCAAGAGGGGAGCTGAAGAACAAGAGCATCAATAACAAAAGGGTATTCACAATAACCCTCCGTAATTTCAAAGATACTTTTGTTGAACCTAAGTGACGCCAATAAATATCAGTTGCCAAAGGCGCTCGTTCCACTCTCCACTGACTCCTTTGCAGCTGCAACTCAGTTAACGAAAAGAACCTCCCAATCCTCATTCGCTTCTCCGTCCTAAAATCCTGAACAGCCTTGTTTGCAGTATACACATCCTTAAAAACCACAAAAGCAACCCCTGCTCCTGGTCCTGCGCCTTCCTTATACGCAGCCACCTGAGTCTCGAGATCAGCTCTCAACTCCTGCAACCTCCTCAACCTCTTCTCATCGGTCCAACCCAATCTATCACACACCTCCCCCCACAGCCCCTTCACCTTCCCCCAAACACCATCCCCTCCCTCATAATATCCCATATACTCACCCTCCTCTTCGTCCTCACCATACACGAAACGAGCATCCATCTTTCCCACTAACTTTGAAATATCGTCCCTAACCCTAACCAAATCCTCCACTAAATCATCCAAATTAGACAAATCCATAGGAACAATCACCCTATAAACCTTCCCAGGATACTTAAACTGAAAATACTCCTCAAAGGGAGTCTTATCAGTAGCCAAGCTCTTAGGCACACCCTGCACCATAATAGTAAAAATCGCACTCGAAATCGCACTAGGGTCACTAGGATTTCCATAACCGTCTCTAAACCTAGTGAACTTCAACCATTCCTCAATCTTAAAAACACCTCTATGCACCAAATACACAATACAAACCATGAAAACAAAATGAACCCACAAAGGAAACGAACCTTTCGCGATATGGGTAATCGTCGTTTTCGAGAAAACATCATCCATCGCCGCATTCCCTGCATAGATATTGAGCAAAATCGCAAACAAAGCAACAATAGAAGTAGCAGAGAGGGTGGCAAAGGTACCGCCTTCAATAACGAGAAATTGTGATGCATCAGCGCCACAATGGAGCGCGATCTCGCGCGCAGTGGCGTGCCAAACAGCGAGGAGCTTCGACAGGAGAGAGAAAGGGCCGGGAATACGGCGGTGATCGCTGCGCAGCTTAACAAGAAGGAAGATGCAAAGACATGAAAGAGCTCCGATTGCGGAGATGTTGAGAAGGTACTGGATGTTGCCGTACCATGTGAAGTCGTCGAAGGATGGAGGAGGTAAAGAGGGTGAAATTTCCACCATTGTTGAAAGGTTCTCTCCTCCCAAGAATGGTGAATTGGGGGGGGAGAGAGAGTGGAAAAGTGATTAGGGTTTGAATTGGGGAAGAAGAAAAGAGGGAATCATAAGATTGATTGAAGAAGTAGTAGAATTGGGAATTCAGGAAAGAAAAATTAGGGGTTTTGTGATTTTGATTGAATTAGAAGATGGGAGAGTCAGAGAGAGATGCTAGATGAGGAAAGGATGTAAACAAATATGTTTGTGTTTCTAATCTAACTACAGACTTCCTGTCATAAAATAAAAAATAAAAAAATAAAAAAATCTAACTACAGACTTACCTTTACATACGAGTAATTACAAATTACGAGTGCATAGCAGGTATAAAGCGAACTCAATTACTCAAACACTCAAAGTCTCAAAAACGAGTAACACCGGCATACAATAAACAGTTTTGGCTAGGGGTGGGACTTTTCAAACCGAACCGTGAAACCACCCGTTACCGAACCGAACCATCACGGACCGATCCGTTTATAAACCGATAAATGTAAACCGAAAACCGAACTGAACCGTTCAATATCAAACCGAAACCGAATTGAACCGCTCAATGTCAACCCGTTACGGACCGTAAACCGATAACAAACCAAACTGCGCAAATCCGAACCGAAACGAAACCGAACCGAATGGTTTATAAACCCGTTAATGACCCGAACCGTTTATAAACCGAAACCGTTTAAACCGAAAAAAAAACCGTTTAAACCGAACCATTTGTAATCCGCTAACTGTTTAAACCGACCCGTTTATGAACCGAAACCGTTTAAACCGCGCGTATAAACCGAACCGTTATAATCCGCTAACCGTCTAAACAGAACTGCCATAACCCGTTAAACCGTTAAAATCGAACTGTTTTCGAATCGCAACCTGTTTAAACTTATCCAATTACAAACTGCTTAATTCAAATTGAATTATTTACAACCTAAATGGCTAAATAGTAAATACAATTAAATAATTAATGTTAATAAATGTAGATCTAATCAAACGGCTTAGGTTTATACAAAGGTTTATATCACCTAGATCTAGGCCAACGACATTATTAATATCGTTTTAGATTACTTATTTATTTTAATTACAAGATATATCATTTGTATCTTTTCATTCCAGTAATAAAGTCCACCCAAATTATCTTCATTGTTCCTTGATATTCATGATCATCCAATAAGATAACATAAGATTGGAGATAAATAACATTAAAATTAGAGTAATATCAACAAGCAATTAAAAAAAGTCACCATTTTCATTGATTAAAATTCACAATACATATACCAATACATAATGAAACTACTATCACTACTACCCAGATTAGATTTCAGATTTATCAACTGAAACATCATCAAGTTTAGGGTTGCAAAAAATGATACATGATAAGATGAAGGGAGGAGTGAGAATGTGAGTGATTTGGGAACAGATTCTTGAAGCAGAATCTTGAAGCAGCAGCCCAGCACCCAAGAGCAGAGGAAATAGCAGCAACAAGCAGGAACCAGCACACGCAATAACAGATCAGCAACTTATCCGAAGCAAGGAATAATATAAGCAGAAGGGACTCAGCAGGAACTTATTTTTGTTTTTCAAAATTGCTCTCAGATTTACGTTTATCGTATCATCACTGAGCAATGGCTGTTTTAACTTAAAACTTGAAAAATGCTGCCAGCAAGTACATATATATTGAAGTCTCAACATAAATGACAAGGGCAACGATGATTCAAGAAAAATTAAAACAGCAAGCATAAGAAACAGCAGCAACAAAACTTATCATAAATTCATAACACAAAAGGCAGCAACACAACACCTCAAGCTGGCAGGAGGCAGGAACCAGCTCATGCAGGCAACAATATAGGCAATAACAACTCAGCAGAGACAACAACCAAAAGGCAAAAGCACTACCAGCAGGCAGCAGCTCATAACAAGTTCAAGCAACTTCAAAATTATAGCTTTTGTTTTTTAAAATTGCTCTCAGATTTACATCACCGAGCAATGGTTATTTTAACAAAAACTTAAGAAATACTGCCAGCAAGTCTGAAAATAAATGACAAGGGCAAACTTTTGTAAATAAGTTTTTTGGTCAAATTGTGATTCGTTACCGGACTGGAGACCATGCTTTTCCAAACATGCATTAATATGAGCTCTACAAGTTGAAGTACCCGCTTTACCAGGTGCTTTATATTCTTTGCCACACAATTTACAACGAGCATAATCTACATTTTCATTACCTATCGTCTTTACAAAAAAAGTGTAATGCTTCCATATACCTGCGGTTCTTTGACGTTTATTAACAGAAGGATTGATAGTGCCGGTATTACTAGCATCATCAACCGAGACAGAGGCAGCTTGAGAGCTAACAGTATCTAAATTTGATTGCCTCTCATAGTCAAATTCATCATACTCGCGAGACATGACTGAAATAAAAAAAATAGCATTTATAACTTATAAGTACCAAATTAAGTGACAGATTCTACTAATAGTGAGCAATTAAGCATGCATTGTCTCATGTGACTGACACTGAAGTCACGACAGTGAATCCTATTCACTCAATACCAAAATTCAACTAAATAGATAGTTCATATTTCAGAATTTTATTTGCACTAGTCAATGTTTCAAAATTCAGAATTATACAACAAACGTTATTACAACATATATCCTAACAGAATATAGAAAGTTATATACGATACAGTCACATATGTGTACATTTTAAGTACTAACTTTAAGCCAATCATATACAATGCTTGTATTCCAACAATATGGGTTAAAAATATAAAGCTAAAATCCCAATAAATAAACAATGCATGTATTCCAACAATAATAATCACATAATCTGAACAACCCATCATCATTACTTTTAAATCGAGCATAATAAACAACAAAACAGCACAAATCTACCATTTTCCCGTAAAAAACAAAAATACAATCAACAACAGATTTTACTCATTTTAGGCATATTTCGACTATATTCAAGCAAGAACAACAACAATAATCAAATACAAAAACAGAAAAACTGTATTAAAAAAAACAAAAAGGAAAAAGTAATTACCTTTGACGGCTTGAAGGAGATTTGAAGATGGAGAACTACCTGAACTGGAGATCAAAAGAAAAAATCAAGAATGTAGATTATCAGAACTTGAAATAAAAAAAAAAAAAAACCGAAACGAAAACGAAAAAAATCGAATAAATTAACAAAAAAATTACCTTAGGGTTTGACGGCTTGAAGGAGAGGAAGATTTGAAATCAGAAATTAGAAATCAGAACTTAGATCCAAAACAAAAATGAAACGAAAACAAAAACCCTAAATAAACAAACCGAAACAAAAACGAAAAAAATCAAAACGAAAACAACAAAAATTAACAAAAAAACGAGAATGTAAAGCGAGAAATCAGAAATGTAGATCCAAAACACAAATGAAACGAAAACAAAAACCCTAAATAAACAAACCGGAACAAAAACGAAAAAAATCAAAACGAAAACAACAAAAATTAACAAAAAAAACGAGAATGTAAAGCTAGAAATCAGAAATGTAGATCCAAAACACAAATGAAACGAAATTGAGCTTGAGATTCTTGAGAATTTCAGAACGAAAGAGTGAGAAACTGAGAAGTTAGAGAGAGAAACTATGACAGATTGTGAGATTGAGAGAGAAACGGCTGAATGAGTGAATGAGAATGGTTGAGAGAGTGAGAGTGGGTTTTTTTTCTAGGTTTAGGTTTTACTTCAGTTGATCTAACCGTCCATATTCAATCTCAACATCTAAGTTAGATCTAACCGTTCATTTTTTTTTTTATTTTTTTTTGTAGATTCTAGAATATTCATCTAGATCTAACGGTCTAGATTTTCTTTGTGCTTTTCTAGGTCTTTTTGACCGTTTTTTTTAATTATTTATTATTATTATTATTATTATTATTGTTAGTATAATTATTTGTTAATATTATTATTATTACTAGTTTACTACTACTATTATTATAATATTATTATAATTATTATTATTATTATTATTACTATTATTATTATTATTATTATTATTATTATTATTATTAGTTTATTACTTATAAGTTATAAATTGTAAGAAACGCAAATGTTTCAAAATTGAAATTGATTCAATACGACATAGTTAATGACTTAATGAGTTAATGGCTTAATTCTCATCAATATGACAATATCTGACATCTGTGAGTCTGTGATTGTATATTAGTATATATAATAAACTATAAAACTAATAATAACTTAATAAGTAATAATACTAATAACTAATAAAGTAATGAAAATCTAACCATTGTTTTTCATGGGCATTCAATCTAACCGTTGTATATTTGACTATTCGTACATTAGTATTGCATAATGCTTTCATCACCACTTTAATTAGTGATTTCGTGATTTCGTCCATTTAACTTATTAAGTTGTTTGAGTTAGTAATCTAAATAAAGTAACAAACTAAATAACGAATCCATTTAATCTCGTGTAAGTTATAATTTATAAGAAATGCAATGTTTGGAAATGGAAATTGATTCAATACGATATTGTTAATGTATATGTAATTATATTATTATGTATATGGTGTATATCATATCGTACGAATGTACGGTTGGTATCATTATCATACTATCATAAGTATCATTGCCTCATTGAATTATTGGTATGTACTATAATCGATAAACATATTTAGTTATTTACATATCTGATCATTAAAACTTAAAAGTTTAAAACACTTGTTGATCAATCTAATTGAATACTTGTACATTCTTAATTATCGATTTATCGTATTATAAGTATCAACTCATTAAATCATGGTCATGATTTCGTGATTTCGTCCATTTAACTTATTAAGTTGTTTGAGTTAGTAATCTAAATAAAGTAACAAACTAAATAACGAATCCATTTAATCTCGTGTAAGTTATAATTTATAAGAAATGCAATGTTTGGAAATGGAAATTGATTCAATACGATATTGTTTATGTATATGTAATTATAGATTAATTATTATGTATATCATATCGTACGAATGTATGGTTGGTATCATTATCATACTATCATAAGTATCATTGCCTCATTGAATTATTGGTATGTACTACAAATCTACAATCGATAAACATATTTACGTATCTGATTATTAAAACTTAAAAGTTTAAAACACTTGTTGATCAATCTAATTGAATATTTGTACATTCTTAATTATCGACTTATCGTATTATAAGTATCAACTCATTAAATCATGGTCATGACGCGATCTTTAAAACAATTATGAATTCAATTCATGACCCAAACCGCTTATAAACCGAACCGACATGATCCAAACCGTTCATAAACCGAACCAATTGAACTGTGTAAACCCTCTACTAAACCGGACCATTTCAAACTGAACCGACATGATTCGCACCGTTTATAAACCGAACCGATATTGACCCGGGTAAATCCGCCCCTAAACCGACCCATTT